CCCGCCCGCCGGCACCGCCGAGGGCAGCGTGCCGCAGGAGGGTGCCACGGCACGCGGAGGGACCCAGCTCCCTCCCTCCCAGGCGGATGCACCTCCGGGCAACGCTCAAGCAGAAATCGTTGAGCCGGTACAAAAACCGGTAGCAGAAGCTCCCAAACCACCCAAAATAGAAGAGATTCCTCAGCGGATTACCAGGAACCGGGCTCAGATGCTCGCCAACCAAAACAAGCAGAACGCCGCCGCTTCGGAGAAGGAATTCCCACCCGTTTCCGCGCCTGCCACCCGTGCCAAAGGCCGTGTGACGGAGGAGGACGATTCCCAGGCCCAGCACCCGCGCAAGCGCCGGTTCCAGCGCTCCAACCAGCAGCTGCAGCAGCAGATCAACACGTCTACCCAGCAGACGAGGGAGATGATACAGCAAACCCTGGCAGCTATCGTAGATGCTATAAAACTGGACGACATTGAACCTTACCACAGCGACAGGTCCAACCCCTACTTCGAGTACCTCCAGATCAGGAAAAAGATCGAAGAGAAGCGGAAAATCCTCTGCTACATCACTCCCCAAGCTCCACAGTGCTACGCTGAGTACGTCACCTACACAGGCTCCTACCTGTTGGATGGCAAACCCCTGAGCAAGCTCCATATTCCAGTGGTGAGTCACCTTCACCCTTTAAACCACAGCATCGGGGACCATCCCCTCGCTTGCAAGCACGGCCAGATGTGGGCAGCGGGAGCGCCCTTGCAGGGCCGACGGCACCCCAGCCGCGGCCTCAGTCTGCTTTTGGGGCACGTGGGTGGCTGCATGGTAAATGTGTCCTCTGAGACGGTGGTTTCATGGAGAAGCCTTAGTGGTGACAGGACAAGGGGTAACGGGTTTCGACTGGAAGCGGGGAGGTGTAGATGGGACATCAGGAAGGAATTCTTCCCGGAGAGGGTGGGGAGCACTGGGGCAGGTTGCCCAGAGAAACTGTGGATGCCCCATCGCTGGAAGTGTCCAAGGCCAGGCTGGATGAGGCTTGGAGCAACCTGGTCTAGTGGAAGGTGTCCCTGCCCATGGCAGGGGGTGGGACTGGGTGGGCTTTGAGGTCCCTTCCCACCCAAACCATTCCATTAGGCTGTGCTTAGGCACCGGAGATCTGTTGAGCCTTTGGAGCAAGAGTGTATGAATCCGCTGGCTTTGGGGCTGGAAGGTAAACCTGCCTTTCCAAGCAGTAATAGGAGTGGGATAACGTAGGAAAAAGATGGCTCGTACCTCCTGCCTTCGTTTTCCCAAGCACCGATGTTTCACTTGCCGGTGGCACACGCTCCCGGGCAGCAGGATCTGTGTTGGGCTGCTGCGGTGCAGGAGTGGGCTGGCTGATGCACGTGCATCAGTGAACTTAATGCTGCAGGCAGTAAATCCGGGATCCGGCCTGGAGCAGGAGGGTCGATGCGACCACCACGTCAGCCTCCGTTCCCTGCCGCAGGCGGGGCGGAGGTACCCCGTGCTGCGGCGTGGCCTGTGCACGAGTTACTGGTTTTGTGAGTTAACACACACGCCAGTGCCGCGGTGCTCGTAGCCCGTGTTCCCATCTGCCTGTTCCTTCCTAGACTACCCCAGGGCCACCTGCTCCTCTGTTCCGCAGCCTGGGCTGTGCTCGGGGAGCACCGTGTTCCCTGGGAAAGCGTGGGACGGATCAGAGTGGGCTGCTCCAGCAGCATCATCCCCTTTGTCAGACACACTCGGGCCTCTTTACAAACCGCCCTGCGGCACGGGGGGCGATTTAGGCTGAGCTTGTCTCTGGGCACCCTGTTTCTCCTCCGGCGAGCTCCCTGCAGCACCCACCTGGCTGGTACCGAGCCCTCGGCCACGGTGCGTTTCAGCTGCCCTGGGCAGGGCCCTGCGTGGCAGAGGGAGCACAGGCAGCCCCCACGGGTTGGATCTAACCCCCCGTCGTCTGCCTGCAGATCGCCCCGCCACCGTCGCTCGCCGAGCCTCTGAAGGAGCTCTTCAAGCAGCAGGAAGCCGTCCGGGGGAAGCTGCGGCTCCAGCACAGCATAGAGCGGGTAAGGGAGCATGCCGGGGAAATTCCTCCTGGGGAAGAGATCCCAAATTTCCTCGGCCGGGGAGACGGAGGCTGCCACGCTCACTGCTTCGTGTGCTCTTCCTCAGGAGAAGCTCATCGTCTCCTGCGAGCAGGAGATTCTGAGAGTTCATTGTCGGGCAGCAAGGACGATTGCCAACCAGGCGGTGC